ATTATTTAGTCACCTATGATATAAAATACATAATAATATTCGTATTATGAGTGAAATTTTGCGGAAAAAAAAAATTCTAATTTTTTGTAAATATTTTCGATTCCGTTGCAAAATTATATAGAGAAATCGAAATCCGAACTTTCAAATTTTGGAATGACAAATATTGTTCTAAAATTGGGAATATTCTTTTCGGGATCTGCGGAATTCGAAAAATTCCTTTTCAATTTCCTCATTTTATAGACATACACAAAGTGCATGTATAACATTATAATGTGACCGATATAATTACGAGTCGAACATTAAAAACATTTCCCCCCTTGAATATGCAGTCGGCTTGTAAAGAGCTGAAGAGCAGCAGAATGTTCCGGAAGCTACTAGAAGCAGTCCTCAAAACCGGAAACCGAATGAATATCGGCACCAACCGAGGAGACGCTCACGCCTTCAAGCTCGACACACTTCTCAAGCTCGTCGACGTAAAGGGCGCCGACGGAAAAACCACCCTTCTTCATTTCGTTGTCCAAGAAATCATCAAAGTCGAAGGGTCCCGCGTATCCAACCACAACCCAAACTCCGAAAATACCCAAAATACCCTCCGGGACGAGGTCGAGTTTCGAAAGCTAGGTCTTCAAGTAGTTTCCGGATTGAGCGGAGAGCTCACGAATGTGAAGAAAGCCGCCGCTATGGATGCGGAAGTTCTAACCAATGACGTGGCGAAATTAGCTAAAGGAATTAGCAAGATTGTCGATGTTACGAAATTGAACGAATTAATTGGAGGAGTTTTTTCCGATTTTATGAAGGAGTTCTTGAAGAAGGCGGAGAATGAGATTGCGAATATTCAAGCGAAAGAGGGTATAGCACTCTCGATGGTCAAAGGGTTGACCGAGTATTTTCATGGTGACTCGGGTTATAATAAAGAAGAATCTCGTCCGTTGAGGTTGTTTTTGGTCGTTCGGGACTTTTTGTCTATCCTCGATCGTGTATGTAAAGATGTTGGGAAGATAAATGAGCGGAGTATGGTGAATTCCGATCGAAAAAGTCAAACGCATGTGGATCAGGGAGTTGACCAGGTTTTGTTTCCTCGATTTGTTGAAATGCAGAAGCAGCAATCTAGTTCGTCCGACGACGAAAGCTCGTCCTCGTTTTAGCGGTGTTCGTTTTTTCTCTGTTCTGCCATGGAATCTTTACATTTCACATTTGCTAATTATGTAATGAAAGAGGAGAATTGTTATGTAGAGGATTTTTGTAATGGGGGTTTGTATAACCTTGTATGTAATAATGTAATAATATTTGTTAAGTGACTACTTATATAATATGATTTGTCTTAATTAGCCAAGGACTAGCTTGCAAATTTTAGGAGTTGCTCATAGATTATTATTTATTTTAAAATATAGGGTAAATTACAACGACCCTTGAGGTATGATAAAAATTACGAAGCCATCCCTCTTGTTTGGGTAATTACAATAAATTCCTCAACTATAAATTTTCTTACACTTCCATCCTTGTGGTTTCAAATTTAGTGGAATCTTCTTGATTATATGGAATATTATCACTTTTGTACCCGTTTTATCCTATTCGAGCTCCACATTTTGAAGCAAGATGATCATAGTATGTGTTTTTTGACTTGTACATATCTGATTTTGGTGCATCAAAAACTGTATATTTTTTACACTAAACGTGTACAAATTAGAGCACATTCCACGTAATCTAGATGATTATATTGAATTTGATACCATAAGGGTGGACGTGTAATAAGATTCATAGTTGAGGGAGTAGTTGTAATTATCCAAACATGAGAGGGCTTTTCGTAATTTTATCATACCTCAGGGGTGGTTGTAATTTATCCTAAATTTTAAAGGTTAAAACGAATGCATTTAGGAAGTTACTTAAAATAAGGATAAATTACGAAAACCCCCTAAATGTAGGCAAAATAACAAAAAACACCCCATCTCCCACATTTTCATTTGATTCTCTATCCAAATTTCAAATGTATAACAATGCAATTTAAGTATGTTTAGTTTCTTTTATTTTACTTAAGAAGAATTCCATGACCTCTCAGCATCCATACGTTCAATAACTCGTCGCGCTTCCTCCTCCGTTGCAGGAACCACATTCCGAATTCCCTGACCATTTTTCACCGCATCTGAGTCGACCGTGAACGTGAAGTAGAACTTATTCGATACCTAACAACCAAAAACATAATCCCCGAATAAGTTTAATAATAATGAACATGCGTGTGTGTGTGTATGTGTGTGTGTGCGCGTGAGAGAGAGAGAGAGAGAGAGAGAGAGAGAGAGAGAGAGAGAGAGAGAGAGAGAGAGAGAGAGAGAGAGAGAGAGAGAGAAGACGCAGACAATAAGTATAGCGCTGACCTCACTGGATCGGAGCTCGGGCCTCATAACATGAGCAACAACTTCGACATTGATCATAGGCTTAGCTGGATTCTCAAGCTCTGTATATAACACGCACGAATTGAAACGCAGGAAATTTCCAACATCAACCTGTATCAGCAAAAAAATAAAATAAAAAAAATAATGATAAAAAATACATGTCAGAAGGCATAAAAATAAAATAGGCAAGAAAACGAGGAATTTGTGAACGAGACTAAGAAATTCATATTCACACAGACAAGTTTCTAACAAGTTATAAGTAAAATATCTATATCGGAACTTCTCAATCAACTCTCTTATGGTGCTCTAATACATAGGAACTAGATTTTTAGGAATTAAATTCAATAACCATAGAACCCGCCACCCGGTTACGTCTTCGAATCGAAGCATTTTTTATTCCAATTCCCAATTTTCGATTCCTAAAAAGAAATATAATAAACATAAAGAATTCAACATGAGGCCAATCCAATCCAATCCAATTTAATCCAAATTACCATGCGTGTAATAAGTTAATGGATTTCGTATTACGAATTTGGAATCTCTAACTTCAAATCCATCCAAATGAAGCCAACTTCAACAGAATATTCTCTAATTTGTACTCGTTTTGTGCAAAAATGTACTCGTTTTGTGCAAAAATGCAGATACACCACAATTTGATATTTACAAGTCGAGAAACACATTTTATGATCATTTCGTTTCAAAATGTGGAGCTCGACTCGGATAAAACGGGTACAAACTAGAGAATATTCCAAATAATCTAGAAGATTCCACTAAATTTGGCACCACAAGGGCGGACGTGTAAGAAGTTTCATAGTTGAGGGGTGGTTGTAATTACCCAAAACGTGAGGATTTTTTTTTCGTAATTTGACCTTACTTCAGGGGTGGCCGTAATTTACCCTATATATATATATATATATATATATATATATATATATAATATTATTCTACGTACCGGTTTAAGGAAATCAACATGATCAACTTCGACGAAGCAAGGCGAACTACCAGCAAAAGCATAAGCAGTTGCAAAAGCCAATTCGAAAGCTCTCCGCATTAAAAATCCTCCGAAAATCCTTCCGTGGATATTCCTTTGCTGCGGCTGACACATCAAAGAATTCTGAAGGCGAGTTTCTTTTATAAGTATACTATCTCGATCCGCTAAAACTGGCATATCGCAAAAGACACGGCTCTCGGATAGTAACTCGTTCAGCCTATTCATTTCCTCATCGTTGATTTCTTTCTTCTGTTCGCCTTTCTTCTTTTTCCTTAACTTGTTCCTTTCTTCCGCTTCTTTCCAGACCAATTTTTCCTTTTCCGTTTCCGGGGCGATTTGGTTAATTATGGCTGATTTTCCAGTGTTGGAATCACGCGCCACAAATGTGAAGTTTGCTGTAAGAGCAACTGCATCTGAGGTATCGGCTGTTTCTGTAATAAAACAAATGAAAACAATTCGATTTACTGATTCTTTTTCTTCTATTATTCAAAACACTAAAATATGAACGTACGTTTTTTTAGTGAAAAAAGAGTAGTGTAATAAATAAATCTTGATAGAAATTAAATTCCAGATAATGCTCAAATTAAAAACAAGATCAGTTATTCTTAAACTTATACACATAATTTACATCTGAAATTGCGCGATAAGTACGAAATTATACGGTAGAATTACTCATGTAGATTTAGTAATGAATATGATTAATCACGTGTATAAAATCATTACGTTTAGAAAAGAAAAATGACATTATTCTGATGTCGGAAGAATATACCTTGAGAGGACTGAGTGACTTCGAGTTGAATCTCCATGGAAGATCGGCCAACCCAAGTAACAGCACCTGCTATTGTTAGATCACTGTCCACTCGAATCGGTTTTCTTAGGACCATTTTGTCTACTGAGGCTGTAACGAGTATTAATGACCTCGTCGAACTATCTTCACATGCACAATGCTGGTACGGTACATAACAAAAAAAACAAAAAAACGAAAAAGATGAGAACAATGAATCAAGAAAACGACTCTGCGTTTTCTTGATCACATTCCCGCGATAGACAAGTTCGACATGCTCACATCACCTCATATAACTTACAATTTCATCAAATTTCCCAAACACCTTCGTTATTTTTCTATTGGGTAATTACGGCCACCCACGAGATAAGGTCAAATTAGAAAACAAACCATGGTGTTTCAGTAATTATAACCACCCCTCAACTATGTATCTTCTTACACGTCTACCGTAAGAATTTAGTGGAATTTTCTAAATTATGTTGAATATTCTCCAGTTTGTATATGTTTTATCTCATTGGAGCTCCACATTTTGAAATAAGATGATCATAACATGTGTCTCTTGGTTTGTAAATATCAAATTAGGTGCATCAAAAACTGCATTTTTGCACAAAAATAAGTACAAAGTACGGAACATTCCACGGAGTCTAGAAGATTATATTGAACTTGACATCATAAGAGTGAAAATGTAAGAAAATTCATAGTTGAGGGTGGTTGAAATTTGGTTAATTTCTACCTGATTTAAATATAAGGACAAAATGCACTCCACCACCTATAAATTTTCCATTTTCGCACTTTCCTCCCCTAGAAATTCAAAAAATGGATAATCCCCCTTCGAAATATTATTTTGGATGCACTTTGCCCCAAAAGCCAATTTTTTTAGCGCATTGTGCAACAAAAATATCATTTTAAAGGGGACATGCAAAAAAAAAATAGTGTTTTAAAGAGGCAATGTGCAACAAAAATACTCAATTGCGATGAATAATCCATTGGAGTTTTGCTATGGGGGAACGTGCAGCAAGAATAACATTTTGAAGGGGGACGAACATTCACTTTAAAAAACAATAGGGGTAAAGTGCGAAAATTAGAATTTGCAGATAGTGATATGCAATTTGCCCTAAATAAAAGCAATCGAGAATGGAAAAAATACAGTTTTTACCCCTCAAGTTTGCACCGATTTCACATTTGGTCCCATGTTCACAAAAAAACACATTTGGTCCCTTATGTTTAAAAAATCAATATGTTTAGTCATTCCCGTCAATCTCCCGTTAAAACTAACGGAATCAAGCGTCTGCCCGTCCCTGCCTTAACTAACAGACTATCGGTAAATTGACGGAATGAACCTTAACTTATTGGAACATGAAGGACCAAATATGTTTTTTTACAAACATGGAGGACCAAATATGAAATCGGAACAAACTTGAGGGATGAAAACTGTAATTTCCCGAATCGAGAAAATACGAAATCTACCTTGAACGAAATGGTTCCAGCCAAAGCATCAAGATCTTCAAGCAATTTACCCAGCCTAATCTCACTCCACGGATTCCGATACTGCTCCCTCAGTATATAATCACTCGAGAATTTGTACAGAATACTCGTCCGGCTCTTCGCCGGAGTTTTCGCGACCAATTCACTCGCCGGAGAATCACTTCCGGTGGGACCCTCATACATTTTCGATCTAGCTTCCCACAGCGCGTTTGTTACAGGGGAATGGTACATTCCCGGCCATAAACTGCTGGGCTTTCTTATCGAAGATCCCGCGTCGATGGGGGCCTCCGCCCCCAACGGCGGATTCGCGGCGGATGATGAAAATGAAATTCTTTGGGTGAATTTGTGCGCCGATTTGTCGAATTGGGAAATGGGTTTCGGGTTTCGAAATGGGTCGAGGAATCTGGCGAGAGGGGATCCGTTTCTTGGTGGGTTGGGCGATTCTTGATTCGTGGATGAAGAGTGAGGAATTCTGCCATGAATTCTTGAATGAGGTGTTTGTTTGTTGTGTAGGAATTGAGGACCTGGTTTTCTGATTGGAGGTTTCATGAATTTTTGTTTTCAATTCTGCAGAAGAAAACAAAAGTGGAAATTTTTCTGATTTTTTATTTGGTAGCTTCTTCATTCAAGGCGCTATTTTGGGGACTACTAGGCCACTTATTTTCGACAAAAATAATAAAATACTATTTTCGTATAATAGCTCATAAATCAGCTACGTAAACTGCACTGAATAAGGACATGTTTGATAAAATTAAGCACTGAATACTGAATGCTTATTGAATAACCATCTCAACCAAAAGTTTAAGCTATTAGTGAAATGTATCATTTAATATTAATATCTCCAATAATGCTGAATACACAGACTGAATGGCTAATACCGTATCTGAATATTCAATGTTGAACGTTTAAGTTTGTTCTGTAACTGGAAATTTTATTATGTCTAAATGATAAAATTTTACCATATTAACCTTCAAATCATTGAACATATAAGTTTATTTACAAACAAAATAATGAATAATGTTTACTTAATAACAATATTATAACTATATATAACTCATAAAAACATAATTGTAACAATAAACCTAGTAATTGTTATATTATTAATTTAGTGAAAATAAGTACGTATAAAGTAAATTTAATTCTAAAACCTTTCACTATAAATATCAAACATAAAGTGGTAAATTACATTGAGAATTGAACCAATACATACAATTACATTTAGTATATTTAAAAGGGGAAAAAAAGTAAATGGCAAGACTCACGTCGCAGGAGAGCTAAATATTGTAATATCATTTTCTTGTGGGGATAAATTAGTCTAATAACCATTCAGCATAACCTCTGGATGAATAAGCTGTGTATTTTGATCTGAATCGGTAACCACCTAATGACTTGGTTCAGATGTCTAAAACAAACACTCTGAATGAAGGGACCATTGACCGAATCTGAAATTGGTGTCACTCAGCGGTCATTCAGAGGTATCAAACATGCCCTAAGTATGTGCGGTATTCAGTGCGGTACACGAGGGTCAAATCTAAGAATTAAGATCAAAATGCGGGATAATTTGAAGTTTTCGTCCCTACATTTGTCGCCTAAAATGATTTTAGTCCTTAAATTTTTACTGTCATGATTTTAGTCCTCAAACTTACCAGTTTTTGACACTTTTGGTTCGGCCGTCAAGTTTCCCAGTTAACTTGGACGGAATTGCACATGTGGCAGTAAAAATCGAGTTTGAATAGACCCCTAGTCCATTTGGCAGTCTAATTATGAGGTGGAGTGACACTTTATTCTCTTTTTCTATTTCTATCTTCAAATCGCTACTCACATATAATTCTTTACGAACGTAAACCCTACCTCTAAATTTCATTTTCGAATCTTCCAATTGATCAGGAGAACTAAGGCAACACCACAATCATCCAATCCTAATTTCACCGTTGGAGCCTTTACGGATTTGGAACATCACAATCGCACAACAAAACTTGTGGAGTTGGAACGGTCATAAGGAATCATTGGGGATAGGGTTTACGTTCATAACTTGTACGAGCTCTTGCATCTGACGACAACTCTTCAAGGGCTCTGGGAATTCAAACACTCTTTTAATAATTAAAAAAATATTTATGTGCAAAACAATTATATAAAACAACAAAAATAAAAGAAGTAAAAAAAAAGGAAATTAAAGAGGTTGGCGCACTCTATGATTAGCAAGGTCATCTCGGTTTATATTAATGCTACACCGAGTAAAACACATCGGACAGATCTATACCATTCATTTATGGGAAAATTACAGTTTTCATCCCTCAAGTTTGCACCAATTCCACATTTAGTACCTCATGTTCACAAAAAACACATTTGGTTCCCCATGTTTGAATAATATAACTCTTTTGGTCATTCCCATCAATTTACCGTTAGTCCGTCAGTTAAAGTAGTGACGGGAACACACATGATTCCGTTAGTACTAACGGAAAATTGACGGAAATGACTAAAAATGTTAAATTTTGGAAAACATCAGGGACCAAATGTATTTTTGTAAACATCGGGGATCAAATGTAAAATTGGTGCAAACTTGAAGGACGAAAATTGTAATTTTCCCATTCATTTATGCACAAACACACACAAATCCACATTAATGTGAGTAGACTGGCGGTAAAAATCCACATATATATTTTCATTCACTGAGTGTAGCATATAGAAATAACGAGGTCAACCTTCGGGATAAATAACCGCACTGGTCCCCACCCAACTACCCCTCTCCCCCTCCTAGTGGCGTATCCAGTGTAGTCCTAGGGTGTGCAACTGCACACCCTTGATTTTGAAAAAAAAATATTCCCTATATATTCATATATTATATAACTGTAAATGTATAACTTGCTGATAAATACCATCTGTAAATGTAAATGTATAACTGTAAATACTCCCTACAATTCAAAGAGTACAACGTTCGGACTTGATGAGCCATCTTTTTGTTCGATGTGTATATATGTAATAGTGGGATCCTGTAAGTCGACTG